TGGTGTATCCCAATACCAACCCAGATGTTGATAACAAAGCTGGTAGTTTTATTGAAAGTTTCAGGGCTGGTTTAAGGAAGGAGAAAATAAATTTCATGAAGAATCAAGGGATAGGGGATTGATCATAATCTCTATAATAACCTTCATCACCAAATCCAATAACAAAATAAGAAATTGAAAACATTGTGTAAAGTCCTTTTTAATTGTTTTGTTTTTTAAATGAATTGTTTAGTTCAAATTCTTGCTTGCATATATACAACTCTTGAGTTTCTTTTTAGTATGTAAATATTGGAAGTGTTCAGTTTTGAATGTTGATTCTGCTTATTAATAAGTTATTAACTTATACACAGTAATTATTTTGTTTCATCATTACAATTCTAAACATATGTTTCATCCTTACAAATGATATTTATTAACCAAACATATTTTTAGATGCATTCCTACATAGGAATATTATTTTAGAATGTAATCATTTACTCAAAAATAAGCACCTACAAATCATAGTAAGTCTCAAGTAAAATCAATGTAATGTAATAGTACAAGGGAAGTTAAGTAAAATTCAATCCAAATTTACCTTTGGGGGAAAAGTATAGAATCCTCAACGGTACTTTGTATAATTTTTGTTGTAATAAATTAGATTATATTGTCTAATATACTTTGTATAGTTTATTTAGTAGTAATAAATTTGATTATTTCGTTCGTAAATTAGACACATTCAACTTACTCATGGAATTCCAACTTGTCGTTACCTTGAATAGCTTATACCCAAAAAAATCTTCACCTTTCCCTCATCATATAAACACTGATGTCAACTCAACAATACAATGGTCCAGTCATGGGTCCCTTACCCTTTTATGGGTATCTAATTGCAAGGATTAGATTTTGTTGCGATAGTATCCCTAAATAATTGAGACTAATTAATCTAAGAGTCATCGAAATTAAGCATTCAGGATAAGAAGCAAGAAATTTGTTTGATGGGGGCATTGATCTATAAAATTATGCAGTAACAAAGCCAATGATGAGTATTCCTCATCTTATCCAATTAATTTCTAGATGAGCTACAAAATGCTCAACAAAGATAATCTACAACAAAACCAGCGGGCGCATATATGGAATGCAAGCAAATCCTCAGAAAGCCCAAAAAGCTAATACAAAAAGACAACACAATGCCTAAAATAAGTAAACAAGCTGCAAGAACACAGGAGCAAAAACCAGCAGTGCTAACCTAATGATACTTGGGTGCCTTGCTCTGCAAATACTTGGACAAAACATCCATAACAGACCCAAAATCAGCCTTGACCTGCATTGGAGGATTGGCAAATTGGCAAGCCAAGTCCTTGATATTCTTTGAATGGTAATCAATTTTGGACTGAGTAAACTTCAAGCCGTGTGCAGTGCTCACCACAACAGTCCTATCAGTAGGCTTAATAACACCACTATTCCTGAGTTTAAACAAAGCAGTCAAAGCAACACCAGTGTGGGGACAAGTAAACATTCCGGTCGAATCAGCCTGAGCCATAGCATCCATCAATTCCTCCTCAGTAGCTTCCTCAACAATACCATTACAGTTCTTCAAAGCATGAACAGCTCTATCAATAGAAACAGGATCACCAATCTGAATAGCAGACGCAAAAGTAGTCTGTGCTCTAACCGCCTTAAACTCTTTCCAACCCGACTTAAAATACAAATACAAAGGATTGGCATTCGCAGCTTGAGCACAAACAAGCCTTGGAACCCTATCCACAAGACCTAACTCTTTACACATTTGAAACCCTTTATAAAAAGCATAAATATTCCCAAGATTTCCACCAGGCACAATAACCCAATCAGGCACCTGCCAATCAAACTGCTGCAAAATCTCAATAGCAGCAGTTTTCTGTCCTTCAAGCCTCAAACTGTTAAGAGAATTAGCCAAATAAATGGGCAACTCAGCAGTGACTTCACGAATCAACTGCATACAGCCATCAAAATCAGTATCAATGCTAAGAACAAAAGCACCATTGGCAATCGGCTGAACCAACTGAGCAATAGATATTCTATTAGCAGGCAGGAAAACAATGGAAGGAATCCCAGCAGACGCACAATAAGCAGACAAAGCAGCGGAAGTATCGCCAGTAGAAGCACAACCAACACCCACAACAGGACGGTTCATTTTCCTGAGACGGTTAACCTGGCTAACAAGAACAGTCATACCCAAATCCTTGAAACTACCAGTATGACTAGTACCGCAATTCTTAACCCACAAATCATTCATGCCTAGAAACTGTTTGCCAAAACGCTCAGCCCAGAAAAGATTGGAGTTACCTTCAAAAGCGCTAATGATGTCATCGTCATCGATCTCGGGTAAAACCCATTCCTTCTTGCTCCATACACCGGAACCATAAGGCCATGTAGTTTTCCCGACACGTGAATCGAAGAGGTTACGCCAGTACGCGCCATCGAACTTCTTGAGAGCGTCGAGGTCGTGTTGGACGTCGAGGAGGCCGCCGGATTGGGATCGGTAAACGATCTCGTCGAGGGAGTAGGATTCGGTGGAAGACGGATCGGCGTTGAAAGGGACGTATTTGGCGGAGAAGAGATGTTGGGAGACGTTTATGCGACGGGCTTCGTCGCGGATGTTTTCGTCGGCGGGGCGGCGGTGTTTGGAGGAAGAGTGCGGTGGAGTTGCGGTGGCGGGGGGAGGGTTGTTGTTGTTGCTGTTGTGAGTGATGGGTTGTGGTTGAGATTGGGATTTGAGGGTGAAATTGGAGGGTTTTGATTTGGGGAGAGAATAGGGTTTGGGTTTGGTGTTGAGAGAGAAAGGTGAAGATTGGAAAAGTGTTGTTGTTGTTGCTGAAGAAGCCATTGTTGAAATGTGAGTGTGGCTCTATGCTTAGAACACCACTTAGTTTGCAGAAATGAAAACAAATCAAGCTTTAATAGGTGCAACACTCCAACTTGGACTAAAACTTGCAAGTGAAATAATAGACAAAGATAACATCCTACTTTTCTTCTTTCTTTTATATAAAAACTAATTGTTGAGATATGGACTAATATGTCTTGTTTTATTGGATAGGTAATGTATTTAGACTAAAATATGTTATATCATTACATCATTTTTTGTTCCAGAAAGTTTATTATTTTAGGATGACAATTATTAGAAAAAGTTTTTTATAGGAACTAAAATTGAACTATGGGATTCCATAGATATCTCTTACTAAAAAGTTGTATCTATTTGATATTTGGATGGAGTTGTCTATGGCGTATTTTTTCAACTCGCTCTTTTAGATGAGGTGTTCAATTTTCTTCTTGAGGTGGTAGCAGTCTTTCGTGTGGTGGCACTTGATCTTGTGAAATTTACACCACATGTTGGATTCGGACCCCATGATTTCTGACTTGGATTGACGGAAGATGAATATCGGGCATATGGAGAACCTTATGTCATACCTGCTCATGGTGAGTACTTCAAGAGTTGAAGTTCTACGTAGGCCTCCCACTCTGTTTGAAGGTCGTTATAAGTTTGATGCATTGGGAAAAGATAAAGTGCTAACATCTATTTATTGAGTGTCAACAAGAACATAAACTACGTTGAAAGGATCGATCGGCATGGCAAATATAGTTTGGAGGAATCTCGGGATCATGTTGAAACATGTTCAGAATCTTGAAAAGAGCATTAGACGAGAAGGTGCCTCGATAAAAACATATATATCGACACTTGTAAGTTGAAAAGACTTGGTACTTTTCATGAGTCTAGAGCATTAGTCAAGAAATGTGTTGATAGGAATGATGAGTTAAACGTTGACAAAGAGTCGTTGGGGAAGTTTAGTGCAGTTAGTGATACAAGATATAAGTTGTCAACGTTTAAATCTCAAGAAACACATGGTAACACGACAAAGGTTGAAGTTTGAAATTAGATGATACGTGTTGAAGCGTCTGACTGATAACTATAGTCGATGGTTATTTTAAAGTAGTATAAATAGTTGTTTCATATATATGTTGTAATCGGTGTGACAAAATCATTGTAATTTTGTATACACTCAAAGTACCCACACATACGACATAAACAAGTTACTGAAGGAAATATATGATATTGTCTACCATTTTTTACTTAAGCAAATAAAGTTTGTTTTTCATTCTTCTTAAGTTCATTTATTTTATGATAGTTTAAGTTATCAATTCGACCCAGTTAAGTTGTTGTTCTTCTAAGTGTTACTTTCATTTTTTAAAATCAATTTTCCAAACATTCAACATTAAATGACAATTTTAATACACACCATTTCCAAGAGAGAATCACACAATATGCTTATGATTTTCTAGTTTGGTCCTTCAAGTACTAAATTTAAAACTAAGTGATTATTTGCCAGCGGTAAATAAATTGACACGCCCTGTAGGACTATTGTGTGATTCTATCATTCTTTTTAGGAAAGTGTATGTACTTTTTCCTTTGTTGTTGATCCCTTTTGTGTTGAAAATAAATGTTTATGGTGTTTGGATTTTTATGCGTTTAAGGAGTAGTAAAAATTTAGCTGAAATGGTTCTCCCTAAGAACACTTCACAACTCCAAAATGACATTCCAAACATTGAACAACCTGTCAGGACCATTATTACAACAACATGAACTTCAGATCTCTCTAAACCAATGAAATTATCTTTACCTCGGTGTCGAATATGACTTTGTTACCAGGAGTGGTTGCTTTATTGCATGTGGCAACAAGCATCCCAACCACTATAACGCATACACGGACAGTTATACAAAACCTTAGGCCCCTATGGATGCCTAGTGTAACGAAGCCTTAGGATTCCCCCCTGGCTGCCTCACAGTCCCAAACGAAGGTCTAGAAGGGCACAGAGGATACATACGCATGTTTTTTTTGCAGGTCCTTACTGCTTTGTGGTCTAAACGAAAAAGAGAAGGTGGTCCATACTGACTGCCCGACCCAATCGAAGAAGACAGCAGGGAGCTTGAGGCGAAGAGTATATCTCACGCTGATTCCAGGCCCCAGTCGAAGGAATCAGAAAGGCAGAATCGAAGGTTGTGTCTCCTGATTTAGGCTAAGCACAAATCGAATGACATGACCTTACTGACTCCAGGCCCAAATCGAGGAGAGTCAGAGAAGCAGAATCGAAGGGTTCTGCTGCCCAAATCGAAAAGCTCATTTTCCTTTCTTTATTTTGTTTTGTCTTTACATTTTCTTACTATTCAATATGGTTGTAATAGTGTAGGATTTATTTTCTACATTTTTATTTGCTTTTGTACAAATGTTAGTAATTAGGATGTATGGAAAGATAAAAACAACAAGTAGACAACCCAAAAATCAAAGACAAAATGCATGCAAATCAAACACACTATTCACACATGCACCTCTAGGGTAATCTCACTTGTTACCTCGGAAAATAATCATGTCCCTCGAATATGGGCGTTTTAGCAAAGACTCTTGATAAAAGATCGTAGTCCCTCGATGACCCTTAATGTTGCCTTCGGTAAACGATCTAGTTCCTAAACGACATTGCTAAATTGTCTCATAGGTTGCCTTCTATGACTATACAAACGTCCCACACCCGTCCCTTCACATCTAATGATGGGGCTTCTTACCAAATCAATGGTAAGATAGTGTGATACGATGGGAGAACTGACTTCTGGTTTTTGCGTTTGATTGCAGTGTTGCGGATAGCAAGAGTCGCCATCCACTTTTCTTTTATCCAATAAGGAAAGGTGAAAAAGCACAAGAAAGACCTTTAGAGATGTTTTCTTGAGTTCGAGGGGTAGATTATGAAAAGAGAAGGTATTAGCACCCTTTTCATCCATGATTTTCCATGGGCTCTTAGTTACTTACTAGATCACTTGCTTTGTTTGAAAGTGTGCTTATGGTGTGGGTTTGAAAATATTTTGAAAATGTCTTTGTAATGATTCTCGTCTCTATAAGAATGCGTACAAAGTGTTGGTTTTGAAAATAGTTCAAAGAGATGTGTTGGTGTATAAAATGTTTTTGTTGTGAGCAAGCAAGCAACTAGGAGCGAATCTACCTACTCAAAAGGTTTTAGATGTTCTTTTCCTCCTCCTTTAGATGTTGCTATCTTACCATTGATTTGGTAAGAAGCCCCATCGTTGGATGTGAAGGGACGGGCGCGGGACGTTTTTGTATAGTCATAGAAGGCAACCCATGGAACATTTTAGCAATGTCGTGTTAGGGACTAGATCATTTATCGAAGGCAACATCGAGGGTCATTGAGGGACTACGATCTTTTATCGAGGGCATTTTTGCTAAAACGCCCATGTTCAAGGGACATGACTATTTTTCCGATAGGCAACAAGGTGGGATTACCCTAAGGGTGCTAGTGTGCAAGTGTGTTTGATTTCATGCATTTTATTCTTGATTAGGGTTATCTATTTGTTGGTTTCATATCTTGTCATACACATCCTAATTACTAGCATTTTATATTTGGAAAAGCGTTAAATTGCGGAAATATAAAAGTCTTACGCTATTATAATATTTTAGGGATGGGGGTACATATTTACAAATGGGGGGTTGTAAGAATTTAAATCCTATTTAACTATTACAACCATATTGAAATGTATAATGCAAGAGAGAAAAAGGACTTGTTTAGAAAATGGTTTTTGTCTTAATGAATTAAGAAAAAGAAATAAATTAATTAATAAAAGAAAATATTTTTATGTCTTTTTTATATTAATAAAAAAGGGAATTAATATTGAAAATGATAAAAAGGAAAATAAATGAAAGATAGAAACAGCGTGTTTCTGCAAGCAAAACAACAAGGATCAGAAGTTCTGAAGCCAGGCGTGTGGTGACTCAGAAAGGAATGTCAGTGTAATCAGAAGTTCTGAATTGATACACTCTAAGGCCCTGCAAGAAACGTCAGAGGGAAAGGAAACAGAGGTTATGGGTGGTATTCATACAGTGAACCAAAAGTCAGAAGTTTTGTGTTATGCTAAAATACTGAGTGAACATCAGAAATTCAGTGTGTTGTCAGCGTGTAAAAATCAAAAAATTTGAGTGTTAAAACAGCAAGTGGAAGCATCAGAAGTTCAGTGTGTTTAACGTGCAGGGAGAACTCATAAGTTTTGTGATTTGCTAAAATAGTGAGTGAGCATCAGAAGTTCTATGTGTTAAAACAGTAAGAAAGCCTAGAAGTTATGTGTGTTAAAACAGTAAAGAGAATTCTAAAGTTCTGCGTGCTTAAACAGTGAGAAAATCCTAGAAATTATATGTGTTAACATGGTGAATGAAAAACAGAAGTTATGTGTTACATTTCAACTCTTTCCTCATATTAATCAGCACATCAGCAATTTAGTCAATCCTTAACAGCAAATCAGGAGGATAAAAACACAACAGTTTATAGAAGTTCTAATCCTAATTCGAGCCTAGCCTTAATCAAGAAGTTCTGATCCACAATCTTTTTTCTTATGAAATGATATGGACAACATCAACACTATGATATTTACATATTTAATGATGTTCTGAATGAGAAGATGCAAAGTCAGAAAGACTTACCTTGAATCTAGAGCGTGTGCTTGGAACTTGAACTGCTGCCTTCAAATGTTCTGGAGTCAGCAAGAGCAACGGAAGAGAAAAGGCCAAGTTCTTTGATTCAAAGGGAAAAACAAAGGTTTGGTTTTCTATTTGGGAATTCTGGATTTTTTCCGAAGGTTTCACAGTTTTCTTTTCTCTCTTTTGATAATTTTCTCTCTCCAAAATCCAACCCCTTGAACGTGTGATGGAGCAAATTATTTATAGATGGGTTTGCTGTGGTTTTGGAGGGGAAAACAAATAGGATTCAAACCTTTTTGGTATATTGTTTCATTGCTTTTTAATCACAGTTTTCGTATGCTAATTTGATGCAAATATG